GATAAGTAAATAGAAATACGTGCCTATTCCCTGTACTATCGATTTGCTGATTTCGATCGCACGTTACCAAATATGCATATGTATATGTATGTATGTTTTAGCAAATACCTTTAAACCGGCAGTAAGTGCAACGTCATGACTGCGACGCGAATTAGAACCACGGTCGTAAGTCGGCAGGGCCAAGTGAGTGTGAGGCGATACATATGTACATATGTACATATCTTGGTAAATACGAGTACACTCGGTCCATATCTAAAGGTGTAACAGCTGATGGATTTAAAAAAAAGCACTAGATAAATTTGACTTCATGTTCACTGGTGTCAATAGAACGATTTAGGTTCCAAGAGCTATTAGAAGATTTTAAATATTTCGTGCCCTAACCGACAAAAAGATGTAAGCGACATTTTTTCTAAAAATTTGGGTTTTGATGTAGAAATGTCATAGAGCCTCTAGATGCAATTCTGCATCAAAAAAAAAAAAAAAAAAATTTTTTGCTCGATTTAATTGGAGTAGGTAAATATTTTTTAATTTCAAATTTCCAATAAAATTTGGTGGTTGGTGATACTTTTTGTGTCGAAGAAATCTTATCAGCTCTAATTGCACATACACTCACATACATACATGCCCTTTTCTCGTGCGTTTCTATAGCCAAACTTAAGTCGCATGCTTAATCTAAGCAGTGCTACCAAATCAATTTCAAAAATATCATTTTAAAAAATAAGGTTAAGACCTCAAGGACATTTGCTAATCAGTGAATCTAATGAATCATATCGGGAATAGCGCTATTTTCATTTCAATTGTTTTTTGCTCTTTTAAATTTTTTTTTTTCTGAGAGTATCTATTAAAAAGATACATACTTTGCCAATACTGTAGCTCTACTCTTTTCCTTCTTGATTGATACTTACATATGTACATACAGTGAGGAGCAAAAGTGTCAATCAGCACGTTTTTTTTTACAAATAATAAATGTTTTTCATGCTCAAACTTTTTTAAATTTCTGATTAAAATACCGTCCGTGCTAATCAAGCAAGATGTTATTTTTTTTAGTTTTTTTTTAAAATTGTCGTACATATTAGAAACCTTCAATATCAGGCTCAATTAAATGAACGATGATCCTTCCACTATAAGTAGGGTATTTTTATGTAATTTACAAAACGTTCTGTTACGATACATAAGGATTTATATGGACTGATTTCGAGAAGATTTCTCAAACTCAGATATATTTTAAGGAACTTTTTTAATGAAAACCTATACACAATTTAAACATTGTGTTCAGATTTTAGCGATGTGTAGCTCAAACAATGTAAAAATTGAGAAACTGCGATTTTCCAAATCTTTGCTGACGTTTGCAATCTATAACAGACATCACATAAATAAAAGTTTCAAAACTTGCCTAATTAAAAAAAAAAAAAATCTAATAAAGTGCAAGTTTCAAGTCGCTAAAAATTACCATTAGTTGTTTAGAATTTTTTTCGTAGTGTTGCGGATTTTTTTCATATAAAAATAGATTTTGATCATGCGTTATGTTACAAGTCCAAATAATTTATTTTATTAACCGACTTCAAAAAAAGGAGGAGAGTATCAATTCGAAATTCTTTTTGCATCAGAAAGGTAGTGTCTCAGAGGTGGTCCCATACTAATCTGGTTTAGATCCGATCATTGGATCATGAAAAAACTTAACGGTACTCCTAAATTTGTATATGAGATTTGAGGTCGGTTTTGTTTTTTGCTTAACCTTACAAATGGATTCATATGCATTTTAGATTGCAACAAACCATACTATTTGACATGAACCATAAATAAATACCTTCACGAAGTATGATTTTTTACAAGCTTTTATTTAACTTGCTCTGTATGTATGCTTGTATCTTGAAATCAATTTTTGTCCAACATTCCAATGTCCTAGAGACTTGAAACTTCACAGTTGTTTCAGAACCCGATGACAATGCAATACGAAAAACGACGCAGCAATTGAAAAATTTTAGAAACCCGTCTTTATAGTCCGATTTGATTCATATTTAGAACATATATTAAATACATTTCCAAAAGCCCTTCTAGAAGCCCCTCTATGGGTAGCAAAAGTACAAGGCCTTCAATTTGTGCCACTTCATACAAAAAAGAAAGGATAAAGGAATACAGAGTGGAAGGCCTCTTGACTCTCCGAAAAAATTTAATAGTTGCTTCATGATTTTTATTTTTTCTATAAAAAATAATCGCTATTTTTGAATTTTTATATTTTCGATTATCCCATAGTCTTTTTTACAGAATAAATATTCTAGATCAAATAAGATTTAAAACGCGCATAAAAATGCAGTCTTTATAATAGTTAACAATGATCGAAAAAAAATAATAAAAAAAATAATGATAATTTTTTATCGAAAAAATATGTAAATATCAAAAGTTAACGATTGCTCTTGATTCAAATAATAATTATTTTGCAATTAACTAATAAATAAAAAATTTTGGTATTTACAATTATTTTCATTACCTGAAGTTTAGTCCAAAAGCGTTGAGAAGTGATCTCTCGAAAACTTAAGTGTAGTCGGGATTTCAAGATTCCAATCTTCGTGTCTACAGGAGCTATCATTGCTTGAAACCCTTTGACTGCTGCGTTATTTTCTGATAAATGTATTTTGGTACAGACTAACTGATGGTTTTATATGTTACCTCAATATAGAAAGGATGTATCTAAACATTTTGTTTCTTTAAGGGGTAATTAAGTAACTTAATAGAAATTCGAGGTTTTTAGCTCTAAACCCGTAAAAACGATTCAATTCTATTGCAGCCTTACAATTATTTTTAAGTTCTAAAAAGATTTTACCAACTTTCGTATAAAATTGGATTTTGAACGAAAATGAGTTAGGGCCTTTCTATATTAAGGTAACAATATCCATATTCTTCTTATCATTGCCCAAGTGTTGCGTGAGCTTGTTGTTGATCGCTGTAGCGCTTGGCGAGAACGAAAGGGGGTGACGCCTAGGATGTTGTTCAGGGTTACAGTCAGTATTTTGGTCTTTGTCCATAAATAATGTTGTCGTGGACTTGATGCGAGTTTAATGATGCACAGTGTTTATAGCTCGTTGCTCAGGGGTGCTTGGAGAGGTCGAACTTGAATAGGGTTGGTGATAGCACCCCCATTTTTATCATACGTGGCTTTCGAGGCCTTGGCTTTAAATACTACCGATGACTGCTTGCTTCGTGCTGATGGTGATCTGTAATGTCTACAATCAATACTGTGTGCTTGACCTTCAATCATATTGAGGCCAATCCTAATTTTCATGCTCAGCCAAAGCGGGGCGGCGTAGTTAGTTGCAATTGAAGATAGTAGGGCTTCGATTGTCTTAGTCCCCAGGGAAAGTATGGTGGTCAGTCTGTATTCTCACCTAGTTCGGCGCTTTCCCCTGGTTCAATGATGGCAATCAATCGCGCCGGCTTTCAAATCTCATCAGCATAAACGAGTGCACTTTTTTACATCTTACATGATTTTCACATGAATCTAACATTCTTATTTTGTCATCTCATTTCTACAGCTGGCAGTGCGGTGGACGACTTCATCAAACAATTGGTACCACTACTTTCGCCCGGCGATGTTATCATAGACGGTGGTAACTCCGAGTACCAAGATACTGCCCGTCGTTGCGACGAACTGCGTGCTCATAAACTATTATACGTTGGTTCTGGCGTGAGTGGTGGTGAGGAAGGTGCACGTCATGGTCCATCCCTCATGCCCGGTGGTCATCCAGAAGCTTGGCCACTCATACAACCAATTTTCCAGGCCATTTGCGCAAAGGCAGACAAAGAGCCATGCTGCGAGTGGGTAGGCGAAGGTGGCGCTGGACACTTTGTGAAAATGGTACACAATGGCATTGAATACGGTGATATGCAATTGATTTGCGAAGCCTACCAAATCACGAAAGCACTTGGCCTCTCCCAATCGCAAATGGCTGCTGAGTTCGAGAAATGGAATAGTGAAGAGTTGGACTCATTCCTCATTGAAATAACACGTGACATTCTCAATTACAAAGACGACAAAGGCTATCTGCTGGAACGCATTCGTGATACGGCTGGTCAGAAAGGCACAGGAAAATGGACAGCCATAGCTGCGCTGCAATATGGTGTACCTGTAACGCTAATCGGCGAGGCGGTGTTCTCTCGTTGTCTCTCCGCCCTCAAGGAGGAGCGTGTGGCGGCCAGCAAGCAATTGAAAGGCCCCGGCGTAAAAGCGCAGGTGGATGATCTGCCAAAATTCTTGAATCATATCAAACATGCGCTGTATTGCTCAAAAATTGTATCGTATGCACAAGGTTTCATGTTGATGCGCGAAGCTGCCAAAGAGAACAACTGGAACTTGAACTATGGCGGTATTGCGTTGATGTGGCGTGGCGGTTGTATCATTCGCAGGTGAGTACTTCAATCAGAGCGTATGCTATCATTTATCCTTGTATGTATAACGCTCAATACTCTCAACTTAAATTTTTAGTGTCTTCTTGGGTAACATCAAGGACGCATACACCCGCAATCCACAGCTTTCGAATTTGTTGTTGGATGACTTTTTCAAGAAAGCTATTGAAGTAGGACAAAACTCGTGGCGTCAAGTTGTAGCCAATGCTTTCCTGTGGGGCATTCCCGTACCAGCTCTATCGACTGCGCTCTCCTTCTACGATGGTTACCGCACTGAGAAGCTGCCCGCGAATTTACTGCAAGCGCAACGTGATTACTTCGGTGCACACACGTACGAGCTGCTGGGCGCAGAGGGTAAATTCGTGCACACTAATTGGACCGGCACCGGCGGCAATGTGTCAGCAAGTACATACCAGGCGTAAATGGCATAAATTAGCTAATATTCCTGATGACATTCCACGGCTTATTCTTAGTAACTAATTAGAAATTAATTTTGCATAAATATGTACATATATAAGTACTTGAAATACAAATAACATACATAATAATGGTGTAAATAAAAGTAATGCAATTTGGATTTAAAGTGAAATATACTTAACTTTTTACGGTGTTTTTATTTTATTCTTTTAATTCCATAATTTTAACCTACTAACCTAAATGCACCAGCAGCGATAAAAACAAAGTAATTATCATAGTAGCGCATATAACAAGGTGCAACAATTATCAGGCCCACTCCAAATATTTTACTTCGAGCGTCGCAGCGCCTTCTTAGGCTGTTCGATGACCAGTTTTTCAGTTGAGTATAAGTGGCCAATTATTGCCTGCAAGAGATAGTAGTTGATAACGTCAGTGTACTCGCATTTTAATTTGTAAATTGAGTAATCTCTCATATTTATGTAAATAGATTTTTTTTTTGTATAAATATTCATATTTTTACATACATACATATATATCGAATTATTTTTGAGTTCATATGTTTGTTCAGTTCTGACATTCTCATGCTCATGGTGAAATTATTTTTCTTATTTTCGTGGGGCATGCTAAACTTTCAGTAAGAAATTTGTTTGAATTTTGTCTCCTTTTTGGAATTGGAAACCGTAGTACGTTTCGGTAAGAAATCGACTAAATTCTCGATCGAAATTAAATTATTTATAAAATCCACTATTAAATCGATATTCAGTTAACAATGTTTAAACCATCATGCCCCCATATTTAAACTCTTGCGAAATTAAACTTGTTTTGTGGAACGAATTTCAAATTTGTATAGAAATATGTATATTAAATTGTAGAATTAGAGATAGTTAACTACAATGGGACTCTAAATATAAATTCATGGTTAAACTCTTGTTGGTGGTAAAGTTAACAATGGTTTAACTAAGCACAGTGGATTCGGCCCTAAGCGAAAGAATTTGCCCGTTAGTCGGTTCTCACAATATAGAGTATGTATAAGCTGGGAAATAGAAATTTGAAAGGCAAATTTTCAATTATTACAAGGATTAATACAAGGGATTTTACATGAACTAAGTCGACACACCCATAACAAAATATTAAATAATATATGTATGTGTACATTCGAGAAAACCACATTTCTTCCTTAGTTCGATTCGATGAAAACAAATATTTATTAACTGAAGGCTTCAATTATAAAAGTAGTTTTCATCCATTCCTAGGAATTTCCATATTGTTATTTTGCGAAACCGCGTAACTGACATTTGTGCCAAATTGAGATTTGCTCAGCGGAAGCTCCTAGCATCAAGCCGTATCCTTTCATACCAAAATATCGATATTAGACTATGTAATGCAAAGTAGCAACATAGCTGCAAGACCGCTGGCCAAGAGTAGAATATATTTTTATTCTCCTGTAAAATGTTGGTGATCTTACATAAAAGTGAGCTTATTGTTTTTGTAGCAGCACGTAGTCCTTAAATCTTTTGACATTTGAAGGTATGCTGAGTGACGGCTCTTGAACGGGTTCGCCAGGGTCAACCTGGCAATGTTGAACCAACCATTTTGAGATCAAGGTAATTTTGGTTGCTATTAGATATTTCGGCCTCGCTTTTTTCTATCTATTCAAAGTCTTCATTTATAACTATAAGTAACAAACGACTAAAACCAAAATGATGCACAATTTCTCACCTGCCGCCGTATAACTTCCAAACTTTGTCTTGCCTCTGCAAGTTTTTCATCGATGACCGCGAAATCACTTATGCCTTTATTTTCTCGGAATGTGTCTCGTACCTTGCGTCCAGCAAACAACCTAAAATATATAAACAACAAGTATTGAAATGTATTTAGCTTCCGTAACAAACCCATTTATAATTTGGTTATGAAAACCATGCAAACCTGAAATTGTAGGCAGGAATTTTTTCGGCTTCCCGTAGAAGTTGGCGGTAAATCGCTATAACTTGTCGTCTCGTTGCCATTTTCGTAGCTTTATTTCGCGTTAAACCTTTAATTTGCCGGCTGATATTGCGGCAAAATTATGAAATTAAAATAAATAGTCTCAATCGGCGCAAACGCACTGGAATGGCAAAATCAGCCGTTTCTGGTGAAGTATTTGGCGAAGTGAACTGTCAAAAACATATGTTGGAAAATGTCAGCTGGTCATATGTGCATCTATTACAATACGCTATTGATGCTATTACAATAGGTCTGTTTGAGGGCGAACAGTTGGTACAAACTATTTAATGAGGAAT